CGTGTATCGCCGCCGCGAGAGAGAGAGAGAGAGAGAGAGAGAGAGAGAGAGAGAGAGAGAGAGAGAGAGAGAGAGAGAGAGAGAGAGTGCCCTCCCGGCGTCGCGCTTTGTCCGCCTCCCGGCGTCTCGTGGGGAAGCGAGTGCGAGCGTGGGACATACGGGGTCGAGAAAGGATCGGGTGAAATAAAAGGGACGCGGAAGAATCGCGCCATATGCGAGAAAGAGAGAGAGAGAGAGAGAGGGGACAAGGAGGAGGAGAGTCCCCCCGCCGCACGAAGTATCGCGCGGATTCATCGGGATAAACCGCGCGGCGCGATCAATCACCGCGGTGATTAACTGCGCTACCTACGGAATCGAACTCGGCCTGTAATTTATGGCGGTTTTTCTCGCCAAGATATAAGGGACACGTTGAGACGCGCGCGCGGCGCAGGTGTTTGTGTAGGAAGTACGCACTCTCGTTATTGGAACGCGTTATTGACGCGGTCGGAGCGCGGGGCGGATTTTTCCTCGGGTCGAGTCGCAGTGCGTTTCCGCACGCGTGGACGACGTCCTGCGAATTCTTCGTCGCGCAGGAAGCGGCGAGTGTGGTGGAACCTGCGACTTGCACGGCGCAGAATTATCGGGCCGGCACAAACGCGAGCGCCTGCCGGGTCTCTTACAAGCAAACCTCCGGGGAACGTCAGACGCTGATTTGTTTCCAATCTTTCATAGTTATTTTTGGTGTCAAAATATAAAGAAATCTGTTATCATTTTCAGCTTGAATTAATTTTTTCAATTTTGTCGAAATTTCTCAAGCTTTTTGTTCATTTCTTGTTGAATTCTTGCCAGATTTTGACGTTAAAATGAGCTGCTGTTTGCTGGATAGCGAGCCGAAAGATTAGCCAACGTCGAATGTAGCGTAAAACTGAACACTTTTTCAACAATGACGTCGGTCATATTAGATCCGCCATTTTGAATTTTACAAAATTTCTGTTCTGATTCATAATCTGCGACATGTGTGTGCAAGTTTCAACAAATCAGATGTATATATTTTTAAGAAATATTGTTTTAAATATGTATAAAATAGTGTACTCGTGCAAAATTTCAAAAATTTCCAAAAAGTTGAAAAAATTAATTTAAGCTAAAGATGATAATAGATTTCTTCATATTTTGATATAAAGAATAACAGTAAAAAATTGGAAACAAATCGGCGTCTGAGGCGTTCCCCGAGATTTACTACTTGTTAGCTCGGGTTTTAAGTCGCTAATTGGGCTTGGACGCGACTTGTAAGTCCGAATTATATTACAAATCACTCGATCGCAGATCGCTCTCGGTATTTCCAGCCCATTGTTCGACAAATTGTTATAGATTCATGAATCGCGCTGATTATCGCGCTCGCCATCGATCTCGCGATTGTTAGTTGCAACGACGAGAAATTGCGCCGGAGCGGCCTCGATTATATACCGTGCGGGTGACAACGTTGATTATGAATAACGCCCGAAGTTTAATACAAATTGCTAACTTTCAGCGTCAAAATCGCGCCAAGTTTGGGCACTAATGCGCTTAAATAAAGAAACATTACTCACACCTCGCGTGAGTAATGCCGTTGTTCCGCCTGGATCGCGCTCGACGTCGATGACGCGGAGCAATTTTCTAAACGAAGCTGACGATGACGCACATTTAGCGTGTTCACATTACCGCGGCTTATCCCTTTCGCAATGGCGCGAATGGCGCCGCTCGCGACTTTTCGCGCGTATTATTCAACCTTCACGATCAACTGCCAGCCGAAGGAAAAAGAAACGAGACACTTTATATCGAGATGTAACATGCGCTTGGCACGGTTGCAGCTCACACGAGATGTGACAGCGTCTGAAGTAGCCTGCGCATCTCGGGAGATGCAAGGACGAAAAGTAGGGAAGGATTCGCATTCGCGATCAAAAGCGACGGGGACGGGGTTAACTACCGCGCGCGCGCGCGAGTGCTCGGATGAGCACTATTGTGAATGCGGCTCCTGCGCCATCGATATAACTTTCCAAGTGTAATTGAGGGAATAAAGTCCGCGAAATTTCGCGAGCCACGACGCTGGCGAGGATCGTAAAGAGGATGAGCATGTCCCGGCGTAACCTGAGGCTGCGAAGGGGCTGCAGAAACGCGACGAGGACACGTCGGGAAATGAAAACGAGGGGCGTCCCGGTGCCGGCGACGTCCTACCAACCCCATGGGGAGCCGGCACGTTATATCTTCATTAAGCAGTATACCTAACCGCCCTGTCGCGACTTCTTAGCACTTCGCAGTTCGCGCTAATTCCATGTTACTTCTTCTTTCTACATATCGGCTTCTCCGTTCGCCGTTCGCGTGCTCAACTAAAGACGTTCGACAGCGGACTGCTGTCCGGACCCCGGCATTCTTCCCCCTTTTTGATGTCCTTCATTCTCGCCGAACAGGCGAACTGGTGAAGACATATTTTATCAAAAAAAAAAAAAATCGGGCACGATCCGCTTGACGATTTCCCTCCACCACGCTTCCCCCTCTGCTCGTCGATGTCTCTTTTCAATTTTGACACGTTGACGCGACGGCGAATATACAAAGAGAGAGAGAGAGAGAGAGAGAGAGAGGGAGAGAGAAGAAAAAAAAGAATCTACCTCAGAAAGCCCGGATGACCTCCCGCGCGATCGAGACGCATGTCACCCGGTCCTCCACGCTTATTAAATCGAACAACCTTAACGACCTCCTTGTCGGTATTCTTCGGCACTGGAAGAACCGGCAGCGCGCGCGCGCGCGCGCGCGCGAGAGAGAGCCTCCTTAGGATTGAAACGCGACCCTTTGTCCGGCGAGTAACGCCCGCGAGAGAGTCTCAGGGCCGTGTCGACGGCGGAGGGTAGGGTCCTGGCGGTTGCCGAGGAAATTCCAGGTCCCCGAATCGCCGTAAGATCGGGACACATCGTTATGGGTCCGCGCGCGCTCCTTCGTGCCTCTCGCTCGCACCCGGGCGGTATCGGGGCGGAGGACCCGGTCCAGAAGGAGGACGCGGTCGTAAATATTCGGGCGCCAAATAATGCCGGTTCCGAGCGAGAGCAAGCGACCAGGACTGCCGCTCGACCCGTAATGAAGGACATCCTCGTTAATTAGTCAATAAATTATCCTTCACGCTCACGACGCCCGTGGTCGGCCTCCCCGTTCGCCTCCCCCCACCCCACCCCCCCCTGGTCGCCGTTCTCTCCGGGGCCGGGAGTGCCCGAGAGGGCCGAATACTTTACGACACCTATCTCCCACGACAGCACGATGCATTTCTCACAATCAGCAGCCCCGAAGACGGAAACGCGTCTCGTACCACGAGATCCACGAGGTGGTCCATCGCGCGTCGCTCGAATCTCCGCTGGGCCGTCGCGACGTGTTCAACATCTCTCTCTCTCTCTCTCTCTCTCTCTCTCCCCCCCCCGCTCTCTGCCCGTGTCTCTTTCCTCGGAGAAGCGTCCCGGTCTTTGCGCGTCTCACGGGAATGTGTTCTCTCTCTGATAGCGAGGTGACGGCCTCAATCACGACGAAAATAGATCCTCACGACACGAGCGAGCGAGGGAATTCGCGCGCGCGCGCGCGCGCGCGAACCTGTTTCGGCAGAAGCGGCCGGCGTTGTCACAGGAGACGCTTTGATCGGCTGGAAAATGAATATCGCATGAAAGAGTGCCGCACGCGCGCCGCGCGCGCGTGTATCGACTGATTTCGAATTCGCGAACGTCGCTTGCCACTCCATGATGAGTTTATCATCGACGCGGCCGGAATGTTAATCGCGCGGCAACTCGATTTTCGCGCGACGCGCTCGTGGGAGCGTTGGTCGCTTCGTGCGCCGCGCGCCGCGCCGCGCCGCGCCGCGCGAAAGACGGCGATTATGAAGTTGACGCGCCCGCGCTGCGCTTCTGTTTCCTCCTCTTCTCTCCCCCCTCTCCCCCCCGCGCCCCTCCTCCTCCCCCCTCCTCCTCCTCCTCGACCTCTGCTTTTTTCCGCGCGAGCCTCCCTCTGCTGCTCGATTAATTCGCCCGTAATAGCGATAACCGAGCTGACCGCTCGTTTTTGCGTCTTCCGAGATTCACGCCGGTATGCCGGCGAGATGCAGCCGCAGATAGCGCAATTACCGTCGAATTCTTACGCTAAACATTGTAAGCGCCCCGGTGGAAGCGCGCGTGCTGCGCGTCCACCGCGCAGGTGGACGCAGAGTATCCCCGTAATGTCTCGCGCGCCGCGACGCTCGCTGCGCAGCGGGCATAAAGATTCGATCCTATACGCGCCCAAGTTACATACCGTGCCACGTGACCGTACATCACTTTAACTACTTCCTGGCTCGGTACAATTCTACCGGCCGCGCGAGAGACGGTGCTCATCTTGCGAGGAATCGGCGCGAGACACGCCGCATCGCCGCGCGCGGTCTGCGCGACCGCTCTTCGATGATAGCGAGAGTAGAAGGGCTGACCGGGCGAGGGAGAGGGAGGGGGGGGGATTAACGTGGTCGAAGAACTTTTGGTGAGAAAGATATATCGACATGCTCGTGTTCTCCTCTCCTTTCATGACACGGCTCGGCTTTATAAAAGCCTCGGGATAAGGCGGTTATAATTGTGACTTTTTTTCAATCGTTGTTATTTGTATATTCAAGTGTATAATAATGTGTACAGTTGTAGCTCAGTAGTTATTATTATACATACATACGGAATGTTTGGCGATATAACACATAAAGCCCTCGTGCGTGTGTAGATTGGACGGAATTCCTCGTCCGCGAGAATCTTGCGAGAATAACCATATAAAATGTTTTGACTCGCTAATTCGTGAGTCAGGATAAACCGAACGAGAAGGAGGTCCCTTGCCAGGAAACCACACGAGAGCCTGCGGCTTGTTCATCAGAGGAGATCGCCGCGATATCGGTCAGCCAGTCTTCTCTCATGAATAACTGAAAATTTCGCGCGATTATTCGCGCAAGACCGAATCTACACGTAACACTCAGGACCTTTGTATGTCCGTATATATATCGCGAGTGATCGTCACACACACACACACACACACACACACACACATACACACAGGCGTTCCACGCGGCGCGACGATCCGTTTTCCGAGCAATTAACCCCTGGTGACACGCGACGTGCAGGTGGAAATAGGATCGACCTGACGAGACCGCGCGAGCGTCTTCGACGTGACGGATCCTGGCTTCCTTCAATCGGACGAGTTCGGGCCGGCGGAAAAGAGCTCGAGGACGTACTTGTGCGCGAGGTCGGGCGTCGGGAAGTGATCGGCGTGAGCTTCCGACAGGTGAGCGCGGAGTTCCTTGGCGAAGTTCGTGCGGAACGGCCCCGACGTCGTGGCGCCGTCGTCGCACAAGCTGCACTCGTAGATCGTCTCGCCGGGATGTAGATTCGTCGACAGCACGTGCCTCCGGAGGTTCTCCTGCGAACAGAGCAGAATCGAGTCCGCGAATCTAAGCCTGAGCTTCAGGGAAGAGAGAGAGAGAGAGAGAGAGAGAGAGAGAGAGAGAGAGAGACCGAGCGGCTGCAAGGCTGCAGCGATTAATGAGTCGAGTGAAACGGCAACAACCGATCGATGCCAAGGGCCTTTATCGGACGAGTGAAGCGCCGTTTTATGAGCGCACGCTCGATCGCTTTGCGCGTTTCTGCGATTTCCGCGGCGATCCGGCGGCCGGCCGCGTCGGGGCGTTGCTATTAAAATTTCATTGGAAACTAAAAGCACACACAAAGAAACCTTTCACCGCGATCGGCCGTAACGAACGGAATCGTCGGTCGCCGCGCGCTAGTCGAGTCGGCTTTTCGTTCGCATTCGTTCGGCTGTGTGGGATACCTGGTGGCGACCCGGTGGCGCGACCGGGGAATCGCTCCGCCGCAGAACCGGACGCCCGCGTTCATTGGCTACGCCGTTGGCGCATTTAAAAGGCGCTTTACCCTCTCGGACTAAGTAGCCGGTCGTAGTCGTAAACATCTTCCTACCAGGCGGGCTTATACGAGCCGTTGATGGCAACGGCAACATCAAATTTAATTTCCCATAAGTAAATCTTTCCGCGGCCAGCGCTCCGTGACGCGGCGCAGATTAAGCCTCGTTCACACCGCCATGGGCGGTCGCGCGCGCGCGCGCGCGCGCGACCGCGGCCTTTATTGCGTCGAGCCGCGAGTCGAGCCGCGACACGCAAATGCCGTCACGCAAATCTGCCATAGGAGTTTCATTAGATCGCCGATCAATTGGGATTTCCACGAGAATCATTCCGTCCGAGGCGCGGCTCCGTTTTTACGATTTACCTGCCAGGGACGGATGACGGCCGCGGCGGCGGCAGGAAGCAAGCGACAACACACACTCGCGACGAGACTCGCTCGAGAAATCGGAGACTTGATTTCTACGTGCTAGGCTCGGCGAGATCGAGCTTCGGGAGAGCCGTCGCTAGAGTCGTTTGCGGCGGAAAATGTATGGGATTCGTCTATTGTTATTTTCGAGAAAAAAAAACAGATTCACCCGTAAGACGGGTAGCGCTGCGTGCGCGGACCTCTCTCGCGTGCGAGCGAGCGAGCGCCGTTATTAATTCGCTCGCGCGATAGAGAGACGCGACCGACTGCAATTGCAACGTAAACATGTCGACGGATGCGCACAAACCGCCGACGAGTCCGGCTGGCAACGACAGGCTCGCGAATAGCTCGTAAAATTTTCGGGAAGGGAGCTTAACCCAGATCGACGTTTCACGATTCGTCCGCCTTCTCCCTTGTCCTCCTCCCTTTCTCTCTCTCTCTCTCTCTCTCTCTCTCTCTCTCTCTCTCTCTCTCTCTCTCTCTCTCTCTCTCTCTCTGTCTCTCTCCGCATATCCCATAAATAAGCGACATTTAATCGGTCGGCTCGCGTATTACAATATTGCGCGCAGGACGATCAAAATTATAACTCAGACCGGTAGAATTCGGCCGATTGAGCCGGGCCGCGCGAGATTTGTCGGTGAAAAAAGTCACGGCGGTAAACGGCGAATGCGCGAGTCATGTCAGGCGTCGGCGATAAGAAACGCCCTGATCGTTTCACATACTTCGCGAATAATTACAATCAGACTACCTCGAGAGAACGAAAAATTCATTAGCGCGCGCGCGAGAGAGAGAGAGAGAGATATAGAGAGAGAAAGAGAGAGAGAGAGAGAGAGAGAGAGAGAGAGAGAGAGAGAGAGAGAGAGAGAGAGAGAGAGAGGGAGGGAGATGGGAAAACGCTGTTCCGCTCGAGTGAGATGCGCGTGTAGGAATTAGCGTTCGAGAGAAACGGCGAGTCGATCTCGGTTCGTCGCGTTAAAAAATGGCAATCGAACGATCGGCTCTTTCACGCTCGAAGGCGCGACGCTTTCGGAGCGGGGGGGGGTGTCAGCTCTCTTCGACGAGTTTCGGCGACTGATGCGGCAGGAAGAGAACGCTGCTTTCAGATTCAGCGTTAACCAGTGTTCGAGGACTTACCACCCTCGGCGAAAGTTTTCCAAGTGGCGGCGGCGGCGGCGGCGGCGGCGCGCTGCGAGAAGCCGGAGGGTAGAACGCTGTCGAGGCGAGGGCGGAAGTGTCGGTCGTGAAAAAAAAGGCGTGTAACCATCCGAGGTAAATCATAACGTGGGGAGGAAGAAGGAAGGAAGGAAGGAAGGTGGTGCGCGTAATCTCGTCGACGCAAGGCGAGCCGTCCGCTCCGGCGGCGGCGGCGGGGAATCCCCTCGTTAAATCGCACCGCGCGTTGCTCGCACGTTCCTTCCTTATTAAAGTGCCGTGCAAACAGCTATCGTCGAGCTCGATACTTTTCGCAGTCTCCCCCCTCCCCCTGTCTCTCTCTCTCTCTCTCTCGCTCGCTCGCTCGCCGTACGCCTTGCGACGGATTATTTTTTCTTCCATCCCCGCAGCCGCGCGAAATGCCATCGCTGATTTATCGATGCCCCGAGATATTTGAGTAATCGGCTAGACTCCGGGCTAGAGCCGAGCGGGATAAACGCTTTCAAAGTCGCCGGCGATCACGCAGCGGACTTTTTCGAGACAGCCAATCCGCGTTGCGTGCACGCACCGCTCGCTCGCACGGAGCGCGCGATCGGTCCGCGACCGTTAAATCAATACGCATCTCGCGCTCTCTGTACGCGCGACGCGATAAAATGGCACCTTTAATTAACGCTCCCGCGTGTGCCCTCGATCGCCGACGCGATGGTGATTCCAACGCTGTCGCGGCGCCGGAGCATCCCCTCTCGCCGATCTCAAAGAGAGGGACGAGAGAGAGAGAGAGAGAGAGAGAGAGAGAGAGACGAGAGAGAACACAGCCCTCTGATCGATGGCCCCGCGGAGGCGATTGGGAACCACTGGAATGAGTTTATGTCGCTATCAAAGAGACACGGAGGCCTCGTATGCGAGTCGCATCCCAACTCAAGCTTCAAAGGACATTAGCATACCGGCCGCTCGGTATGACTGGCCTGTGCGTGTGTGGGCATCCAGTGAGCACAATTAACTCGTTATCTTATCGCGCCCCGGCGGCGGCGGCGGCGGCGGCGGCGGCGGCAGAGGCGGCGGCGCGGTCCAAACGTTAAGGTGTACTTTGCTTAATTTACGCCGCGGACTCAGCCGCCGGACAAAAATTGGACTACGGCGCGAGAGAGCCCCGAGAGTGCCGCGCGCCACCGCGACGTTTTAAGCGGAGCGGACTTCGAGTCCCGATGAGCGCGCGCGCGCGCGCGCGCGGTAGGTCCGCCAGGATGCGTGTCTGGCCGAAGGACGAAGGACGCTACTGGTTTTAGTCGCGGCAGAGCCCCGTGAGACTCTGAGCTCCAGCTCCTGCCTGACGATGACGACGATGAGGTCCGGCGAAACGAGTCGGGACAACTCTCGTTGCTTCGCTTCGCTAAGGGATGCTCGAGTCGACGTTTTCGTCCTGCGCCTTGAGCTTTTTTGAGACTCCGAGCGCTCTCGAGAGGTGCACGTCCGTCGATGACGGAGATTTGAAGGTTGCGGAATCGAGGTATGTGCGAGTCACAACCGCCGGCAAAGTGCCGGGTCGTGAGGTTGGAATATTCGGGATTGATGGATGATGACTCTCGCGCTGGATGTTTGAGTCTGGCATCGAATCGTTTTTTTTTTTCGCTCGGGGAGGAATTCCTCGTTATGAGTACGTGTGTGTGTGTGTGTGTGTGTGTGTGTGTCGGGCGCAACAACTCACCAGATTGTTGCAAACGTAGGAGCAGTGCCGGCACTTGTACGGTTTCGAGCCCGTGTGCAGCCGCACGTGTCTCTGCAAGTGGGAGCTGACTTTCGTCTTGAAATTGCAGCCGGCGAAAGTGCAGCGGTGGATCCGCCGTTCCTCCGCGCTCGCGGGATCCTCGTGCTTCGCTCTATGCCTGCAACAAACGCAATCGCGCATCGTACAATCGCGCGATGGCGATAACGGCGGCGATAATCGGACGGGCCGTAAAGCCTCCTTGCAAATTCGCGCGATTTTATGGAAAGCGATCGCGTTGCACGTTCTTTCCGTTCTTCGGTTAATTAGACCCTCTCGCTGTTGAACCACTGACGCAGGCAATTAAAGCATAATGATAAGAATTTACGCATCCGATACGCACACGATTATTAGCGTTAAATGAAAATTCCCATTGGAATCGAGCGGACGGGCGGGGCGGAATTTATCGCAGCCAATCGAAACATTTTATGAAAGTCTGATTAACGCACACAGCACCGGGCGTTAATACGCGGTCAACGCGGCCATTATCGCCAGATAAACTTTCTACGACGAGCACGCTCCAAGTGCGCTCGAGGGGGAGGGAGGGAGGGAGGGGAATATATCTAATCTGGAAAATATATCTGTCGCCGGCGTCTCACATACGCTGTCGGTGTCGCACGTGAGAAGCAGCCATTGCCGCGATAGTGTCTCGCCGAGAAAAGTAGGTACTACAGGTTTGTCATCGGCAAGGAAAGCCAGCCGAGCGACAAGGAGAGATAAAGATAGATAAATGGAGAGAGGGGGAAGCGATATCTTCCAAGATATTTCTAGTAGCCGTGGAATTATCAACAACGCGCGGCGGCCGATCGATTAATGAGCCGCGAACCCACCGGTCGTCGTACCTAACTTCCAGTCTCCGCACGACCGCACAAATTCCGTAACGCACACGAGCGAAGCGCGCGCGCGAGGGTGTCGCTCGAAAGCTCTTTCACGTAGACGCAAATCATTCTCGAGCGCAACCGGTTTCCTTTTCCCGGCCACCTCGGCTTCTTCCAATTCTAACGCGACGCCGTGAAGATACGCGTCGCGTGAAATGAAGACGGGCCGCGCGCGCGATTCAATTGGCTGAATTCGCCGTAAATCAGAAACTCGCCGGGGACTAAATTGATGAATTCACGAAAGCTCGGCGCGGCCCGGGTATCGCGTGTCGAACGGGACCGCGCCGATATTTCTCTACGTCGCGGCTCTCGCTACGGCGGCCCGCGTCACGAGATCGCATCTCGGAGAGAGGTGTGTCCTTCTCCTCGACCGTTCTTCTCTCCTCCACCTCCGTATCCTCCCGACCAAGTTCATCGTCGCAGTCGCGGCCCGGTGATTATGAACGATGCGATATGCGTGCGCGATATTACGAGGGAGCCGTTGGTCGCGGCTACGTGTATATCAGGTTCGAGATGCGTGACACGTTTAATTAAAATCCCGCGTGATTTACTCCGCCGGGCTCTCGCGCGGCGAGATCCCGCGGCGGGGAGGTGGAGGGAGGACGGGACGGCGGGGGGGGCGAGAAAGGAGAGTGAGCGCGAGCGGGAGGGAGGCCGTGAGAGAGGGAGCCCGACGAGTGGACACACGCGGAAGAGAAGCGTCGGTGGAGGAGAGCCCGCGCGACACACTCTGCGGCTGCGTTGACTTCGACTCACGTAGTAAGTACTCAATTCGCGATGAAATATCGCGGCTACCATCGCCATGCGCGAACGATCATAACGGGTTGCCCGCACTTAGCCGGCTGCTGCACGCAACTTCCGCTTTCGCGGTCCTCCACCTCGATCTCTCTCGCTCTCGCTCTCACTCGCTTTCTCTCTCTCTCTCTCTCTCTCTCTCTCTCTCTCTCTCTCTCTCTCTCTCTCTCTCTCTCTCTCTCTCTCTCTCGCTCTTTCCCTCCATCTCCGTTTCCCTCAGCCTCCCGCGACCTTCGTGCTTCTCCCTCGCTCTCGCGACGACGGAGTCGTCAGACGCGGCGCGAAATTTATTACAGGCGCTTCGCGCGCGCCACAATGTCCTTAATAAGGCTTAATTTAAATCGGATCTCTCGCTTTCGCGCGCATTCATCGGCCGAATAGGAGGGATGATCGTCGATCGCCGCGCCGGGGACGGGGGAGGGGGGGGGGGAGCGGCGGCGGCAATTTCTCTGCGCGGGTGGACAGAAACGCAGCGCGAAGTGGTCGATTATCCTTCGGAGAGGAGTCCTTCGGCCGAGCCGAAGTGCTCCCGCGTCGACGAGCAAGTAAGAATCGGGCGATTAGCGGAATCAAGATCCGCGCGGCGGTCGCGCGCCCGGTCTGAATGAATCATTGAGCCGTGAAATTAATTCAGATACAGATGATGCCGTCGTTGCGCGGCCGAGTCTTAAAATAACCGGCCAATAAATCTAGGAGATAAAAGGCGGTGCGAAAATTGCCGAGCATCGAGGCCGCGACGGGCCGAGCGCGAGCGCGGGCGCGGGCACGGAGAGATGTGTAATCGGATTTTCGATAAATTACTTCTCAAATTATATCCTCCCCATTGTCTCTATCAATAATCCGCGAAGATTGATTCTTTCGCTGTTCGCGTATTCGCAATTATGTATGCGCGGCGGCGCGCGACGCGAGTACGCGCAATTAATTCTCCGCTTCCTCGAAGGCATCGATCATACATACGCGGGCCGTGAGCCGCGCGATTAATGGCGCAGGAATGCGTCGTCCTCCCGGCGGGGACCTCGATTAAAATTAATGTCAATAATATCGGCAGTCCGCCGAGGAAGAGTCGTACCGCGCGGCCCCTGCGAGATGGAGCCGTGGATCGTACGCGAACTGAATTGTTAATAAAAAGAAAGCCTCGCTTTCTCCCTCTTCCCGCCCGCTCTCTCTCTCTCTCTCACACACACACACACACACACACACACACAAGGATCTTCGATGGCCGAAAGCAGACATGCTACCTTGTGGACCGCCTCGGATTATTAAATACATATAGACCGTCCATTTTCTGTCAACTACTTAAATTTCACGGGCCGCTTGTGCTCTGCGTGACGCTCTAGGATAATTTAATCTTCTTTTTACCTGCCGCAGAGAAATTTACAAAAAAGATCCTTTCGACGTTTTTCGCTGCGGATCGCTGTCAGTTTCGAATGGAAACATCTCACGTATTCAGCGGGAGTAACTGACGATAAGGTTCGCAGGGATTTTTGCGAAGAAGACAAGGTCGATACTTTGACAGTCACAGGCGTAATTTTGCCGATAATAATGCATCTTGAATTAAGGAAAGATAAAATTATGCCTGACTGTCGGTTTCGAGTTTCTCGCGAAAATCCCCACGAACTTATCGCGCAAGCCGGCATTTGTTTGCTCAGCGCTTGAAGGAACCGCGTCTCAGGAGGTCGAACTCGATAAATTACACACCTCCCTCCCCTTTGTTCGATGGTCATTTTACCTGCGCAACTGCGTCTTCGTCTTCGCGGCGTACGGGCAGTCGGGACAGGAGTACTGCTTCTCGACGACGTCGTGGGTCAGCTTTCGGTGCCTGTCGAGCTCGGCCGCGGTGCGGAGGACCGTCGGGCAGCCCGGAAGTCCGCACTTGTACTTTTTACCAAAGTGCCGCAACATGTGCTGCTGAAGGGCGTACCTGTGCGGAAGCATAAAAGGCATCAGCGCGGGATGTATTTCATTTCGCGGATTAAACAACGCGCCCGAACGATCGTCGTCGCCCTCGCGGCGCGCGATCGCAGAGAGAGAGAGAGAGAGAGAGAGAGAGAGAGAGAGAGACCGCACACATTCCCGAATACAGTTGTTGCCGTTCGCCGGGAATTCCCGCGACTCGTCGTCCGCGTGCGCGAACATGTAAATGAGCGGCGAGAAATACGGCACGGTCATTAACGGCGTTTTTGATGAATGGACTAGAAAATAAACGCGACTCATAAAACCAAACGTCCGCGACGCGGCACCTCTTTCTTCCTCTTGCCTCTTCTTCACCTTTCCTCTCTCTCTCTCTCTTTTTCTTTTTCTGTCTCACGCTCGTCTCAGCGTGAGTATCCCGGCATCTCGGACTTTACTTCCCCCTCTCCCGCTGTCCCCTCCGCTCGGCTAGGAAGATGTTGAGAAAAAATGTAGCCCGCGCACGAAAAGGCGCGTTCCGCTGATGGATGTGTCCTCGCGAAAAGTTCATCGTTCGCGACAACGACTGTCTTATGCGCTTTCGACAGCCGCAGTGGTCTCGCCAGGTGACGAGAGAAAGAGAGAGAGAGAGAGAGTGAGTCAACGAGACGCGAGTGCGGATCTAGCTGCGCTCGCGCGCGGGAGCGCGCCGCGCGGAATTCCCATTATTTAAGCGCGAGTGAAATACGAGTGCAATACGACTGCCTTATAATTAGATGGAAACGAACATTCCACTGCGCGCGCGTCGTTCGAGAGCGCGGCTCGAATTAGCGGCGCGCCAGGCCGCGCGCGGCCCCGTGGAACTCGTAAACGCGATAAACACGTGGCGGCACTTTTAATTAACGGTCGCCGCTCGCGCGATCGCGACGATACAAACCCTCCGCATCGATCCTTGACCGCTCGTCTTCTCGATCTAGTGCCATTGCGCGGCCATGACGCTCCGCCACGCGCCCCTGCAAATCTACGCCGCCGTAGTGCCGCTCTGTATCTTCCCCCTTCCTTCTCGCGGAGAAAGGGAAGAGGCCGCGGCGGGGAGGAGGAGAGACGTCCCTCGTCCTCGGCGGAGGCGCGTAATACAGGAGCGCGTCTCAACGAGCCGCGACGTCGACGAGGCCTCGTCCTTGTTATCGAAATCGCCGGCAAATTTCAGTCGCGATCGCTCGCGCACGTATCGTCTCCCTCTCCCCCCCCTCCCACCCCCACCCTCTGTCTTTGCATCGCACATTTCTGCCGGCGGATCTCTTCCGGCCGCGGTAGCGGGACGAAGGACACGGACTTTTTCGAGATGGCAGCTAGACGATACCGACCGGAGAAGTCTCGGGTCCTGCCGCGGCAGCGCGAGAGGAACGAGAGACGGAGGTCGACGTGGCCGGCGAGGAGAGGAGAGGAGAACAGATGAGAGCAGAGGAGAGACGAGAGGAGAGAAAGCAGCAGCAGCAGAAGAAGAAGAAGCCAGCGAGAGGATCTGGGCCGTCCTAGAGGGAGCCGGCCTACCCAATTGGCTACGCAAGTGTAACGTCGAGTTTTACAATGTCAGGATATACACGCCCTCGCACGAGCGCTGCGCGCGTCCTCAGGCTCGCTCTCGCACCTGCGAGCCAGGTAGGTAGGTAGGTAGTCGCGCGAGCTGCGTGTCCGGAGCCGCGGATACCTGCGCGCGGATAGCCGCGCTCCGCTCCGCGTGGAAACAGGTAACCGGCGCGTTCGCGCGCACACGCGCACGCACACACACACACATACGCACGCAGGCACACGTACTCGGGCACTTTCGCCCGGCGCGCCCGCGCGCTTTGTTCGCCCCTCGCGACAGCCGGATGGAGATAAGGGTCTCTCAGACGCGTGTGATCTTACTTCGTCATATCGGATTTCGGGCTTCCCCGTGGCGGAAGATCGCGGAGATACTCGCGATTGGCTAATCCGGGAATGTATCGCGGCTTCCGTTCTTTCCCCCTGCTCCCCTCCCCCCGTCGCTCGTTATCTCACGGAGGACGTCGGGAGACGCCGGGTCAGTCGGTCGAATTGGGTCAGTCTCTAATCATCTGTCGCCGTCATCTCTCTCTCTCTCTCTTCTCCCCCCCTCTCTCTCTCTCTCTCTCTGCTCGCCTGCTCGCTCGCGGTCTTTTCGCGGCGCGACGGCCAGCGGCAGCTGCCGCAGCCGGAGCCGAGACGCGCTTCTCCAGCGGAGCGGAGCCTTAGAGGAGGGGACACACGCATCCGAGAAATATGAAGAGGAGGAGGAGGAGGAGGAGGGCCCCGCTTTTCTGTCGGGCCGTCGAATCTTTGTTGCGACAAGACACGCATGCCCTTTTCTTCTCCGTCCGGTATCTCTCGCAAGTGAGAATGCATCAATGCGTCGGGCGTACGCGATGCGCGGCACTGCAGTGTGCAACGCGGACGGGCGAACTCAGTCGCAATAAAGCGACTGAGATGTGGGTGGATAAAATCTCTCACATTTCGCTGGCCGCTGAAGATTCCGTAAAATATGCTCTGCGAAGATGTTAAAGCCCTACCCGGCGTTAAGCTGTTTGGCACCGTAACGTTCGAGGGTTTATGCCCGATGGATTAAGCGTTTTCGGCCCCTTTGACCGCACCACGGGTATTTTGATTCCCCGTCGCATTTTTTATCCCATCTGCGATACCGCCTCCTCCTACCTTCCTTCTGCCCCCCCCCCTCTCTCTCGCTCGCTCGCTCGCTCGCTCGCTCGCCGTTCCTCTCCACGCGGACCCTCCCATCCTCCGCCGCGTTTTTATCGCCGCAATTATTGTAATTCTTTTCGCCGGCGGAAAGCCCGTAGTCTATAAATTCGATAGTCCGGCGATCCGAAAGAAATGCCAAGCGAAGCTGCCGATGTGTGTATTTCCAGTCGATCGCAAAGTCACGCGAGGACACACTTTGTGCGATCGGGACGCCGGGCGACGCGCGCGCGCGCGCGCGCTTATTAGCCGGCGTTAATTAGTATATTCACCTGTGCAACCTGTGCAACGCTCGAACTATCGAGCGCGCCGACGCCGGGTAAAACGGGCCGACGTGTGGTGCGCGTCTCGCATTTCTCGTGCGATGCTCACGAGAAAGATGCATAATTTAGTTAGCCGTGCGAGAACCGTCGTTCACGGCGCACCGCGGAAATAACGAAGAGAGCGCGGCCGTCACAATAAAATCAAAGAGACTCTCGGCCGTCCGCCCCTCGCGCCCCCCCGCCGGGCTGCTTCCTCGATAGAAATTAATAACAAGCGCGCCTCCGGAGTTTCTGCGTGCGCCGGGGCTGGCCGTGGTGAATCGGTTCAAGGTCCGCGTTCACGAACGCCGTAATTGCGTTGAATTATGACAGCCGCGCGCTGCGCGGCTCGGAGTCGCGCTCGCGCGGAGGGACGAGACTTTTCCGGCGGATCGAAGCCGGCGATAAGGAGTGACAGCGCCGCGGCGATTTCTCACGTCGGAGAGACGCTAGAGGAGAGGAGATCTCTCCCGCGCGAGTGACGTCGCGCCCCGACCACGAGGAGAGCTTCCTCCCGACGAGAACGTAAGATGCGCTCGCGCGAGTACTCTCCGGCGCGGCTGGACGCGCGCGCGCGCGCGCACGCGCGTGCACGCCTATTTATTACAGCCGTATATCACGCTCTCGTAATACAAAGGGCGCGGTCCGTTTGGCGCTTTATAGGCATCGGGCCGATTTTCTCCTCCTTTCGTATAAGCAGAAGGCATTAACGACGTCATTGCGCAGCCTTGAATCCAGCCGGCGCGAATCGCGCCCTCGGAGCCTCCGCGTCGCGGAAGACATCGGGGATTTCGAGAGAGACCTCCCGGGAAGTATCGGCGTCGGCTCTCCCCTCCGCGACGCCGTCCTCCACATCGGTCGGTCTCGTTCGCCTGACTTACGACGCGAGCTGGAGAGAGAGAGAGAGAGAGAGAGAGAGAGAGTTCCGATAGAACAACAACATATTAAAATCGGTGGGAAGGCGACTCCCCGCGGGACGCCCGGCATCGACAATGAGGGGACCTGGGTGAAGAGGAGGAGCTGCGGGTTGAAGGAGGGGGAGAGGGGGACGGAAGGAGGAGAGAGACGGAGCCCGCTCTGTTTGCGTTTTTGAGCGGAATGTCACGGGCGTGACGGCAGGTCGTTAAGGGCAGCCTCGGCCGCTCGATTGGACAAGCGGATGCGGTCACCGGCGGATGATTTAGCGCGACGTCCGCCGTCAACTACGTGAAATACGCGGAGGAGGACACAAGGCGAGAGAGGCGGGCGCACAACGGCGGCGGGTTAGATCTCTCTTCCTCTCTCTCTCTCTCTCTCTCTCTCTCTCTCTCTCGCGCTCTCGGCCAAGTCATTTAAAAGTCTAATTCGCGTCGCGCGCGTGTACACATGCGTCGATAAACGGTGGCGTACGGAAAGTACGCATCTCCGCGAGAGACGTGGAGAGAAACTCGTCTTGCGGGAGGTGACCGCGATTTCCGGGCGACCTCGCGACCAGCCACCGCCGCCGCCACCGCCGCCTCCTCCTCGTCTCTCAGGGTCACGCGATCCCTCCGGAGGCTCGGCAGCTCGCATGGCGCTGCGGCCGTTAACAGCCTGACGACTTTATAGCGCCCGGCGCGAGTTTTTAACGCTTTTTATTCCGCCGGGCTCTCGCGCCGGCAGTAAAAGCGATGACGGGCGGAGCCTAAGGTTTCACTTTACCCGGCGCGTCCGTTGATCGGCATTTGTAGCCGATCACGTAGCGAAACGATACCGCGCTAGTGTACAGATTGTCCGCTTGTCTTCGGCCAAGTGCGGGCCAATAGCTTCGAGCGCTTTATGGGAGAGACGTACGGCCGAGCGTTCGGCTAAACGGAATCGTCAGGTAATTTAATATTCCCTCCGCGTGGCGTGCGCGCGCGCGCGCGCGAGCTGTGTTATTTTTGTGTGTACGCTCTCCCCTCCTCCGCTCTTCCCTCCGCTCTTCCCTCCCCTCCTCGCGCGGCGCACGGTGGTG